AGATTTGGAGCTTTTCAAATGATGACCAGTGTGTACTTGTAAATTATCCTAAAAACTCTGCTGAAGAAATGCCAGTTTGTAATTGTGTCGAAATTATTTGCAGTTGTAGAAAAAATTATGCCTAAATGAAATTTCAACACTTAATAAAACCTGTCGCCCTGGTTTCATTTTTTGTGGTACCTGTATTAGCCTAATTAGATTAGTTTAAAGACACATTTAGACATCTTGTCTAAAATGTAATGACTTTTTGTTGACTGGAACTAGACTAAAACAATGAAAGATTAAAAAATGTGACTAAAACTAATGAGCATTTTCATCTTAACACTAAGACTTAATCTAAAATAGCTACCAGAATTAACACTGGTTCATATTTAAGCACTGCTTAGTTTAACAGTTTGATCTGATTTTGGTCTGAGTTTGAGAGATGGAGAGAGATGGAGAGAAGGGGTCAGCTCTCTCTTGATCCGCTTCTATACTTTTTGTGTCCATGGTGGTGAGCATACAAGAATGAGTAAGTACTAGTCTCGTCACCAGACAATCAGAGATCTCCGCCTTCTGATAGTCTGGGGACACTCCTTTCTAAAGTGTGTTTAACACACCGAAGAAAATGGCCGGCAACAAAGCAACGCCTCTTGCATTTTTGAAAAGGACACGCCCTCCCGCAAATGTGCGCTCCCCCTTTTCTCATCCGCAAGGAAACAAACACACAGAGAGCTTGAAAATGGATGCCGAGAGATTAAACTCCGTTTTATCAAACGTGTGCTCATCGGAAGTATTTGTAAACAACAAGGCGATTCCCTCTATAGTCCGGCCAGACGGATGAGTCATGGCCTTGTAAAAGATTATGTTTGTTTCTTTTAGTTGGAGAGAATGTGTCGCCGCAAGCGCGACAAACATCCACTAACTTTGACAGAGTTTTCTGCAAGAACGGCTGAGCCATTTTGTACCACTACACGTGTTTCTAGTGGGACTATGTTTACAAGCACAAGAGTTCAGTGAGCCACCGAAGGACCGCCCTGCAGATTTACTATTGGTTCTGCAACGTAGGGAGTTTTTTTAAACTCTGAAATTGTATCTGCCCATCTAAACACAAAATCAGGGAGAAAGTCATCAGTCTTTAGTTAAGCAAAGCATCTAAAGACTGACTTGTGAGTCTAAATAAGTACAGTCTGTATTTCAAGCAGCAGCCCTAGACCCCCGAAAATCTGCTTGATGACATGAGATGCAAAAAGATTTGAGCTGAGAGGTGAGTGGGGAGATCTGGGTGCTGGTAAGATGGAGGGAAGTTTCCCACAGTTCATTTACACATACCACCCACACTGTTATGATACAAACCTGGTTGAAAATCAGCAAAGTATCCCTTTAACTCCACATGGTAGTATTTATTAGAACGTATTGATTTATTCAGCTGAGATGTTCCTCTTATTTTGCCCACCCCTGCAGTTCCCTCACACTGATAATAACTTGTTGGCATGGGGTGAAAATGGCTGCTCTAGATGCAATCAGAGTGCAATGATCCATCGCCAGTGATTTGCCTCAAGCAGAGTGATAATGAATTTGTCCATAGTTTGCTAAAGCATTAAACAAGAGGAAGCCGGCCCATTACACATAGGTGTAACAAAGGCTCCCTCTGAGAGACTTCACAGCCCACATCTTTCTCAAGGTCGCTCTGCCGCTGCACCCAAACACTATTTCTTTTCCCTTACTTTGGCTTTTTAGGAAACACACTTACAGGAGAACAATTCACACAAGAGGTCTGGTGGTTAGATGCAGGCTACGATAATGTTCTTCCTCTCTGCTCACAAAATGCACACACTTTTTCGTGGACACAGATCACACACTTAATAGAAACGTACACCTCTGGATGTTTTCATCCCCCACAGTGGTGGCAGCGGCATTATAGAGCCAAACTGTTAAAAGTCTCAAGAATCAATAAAAAGCCACTCTTCCCCACTTGAGTCAAGTGTTAAAGGCTTAAAGTGCTCTCTATCATTTATGGCATCTTGCTGTCATGGCAGAAGAATTCAGTGAATATAGAGGGCATCTCAATCTGTGGTTTCTGAGAGGAATCAATCAGGCTTTTTATCAGCTGCTCTGAGTCACGCAAAACAAAACAAGAAAGATGAGTCTGCACAGGAGGTAAGAATCTGCCACTTTCAACAGTTTGACAGTGAGGTGAAGATCAGAGATCACTTTTGTTAAAAATCACCACAACTGCATATTTGTGTTCACAGTTTACCAAGTAATGAACTTGTGTTGTCAAGATCTTCAGTTGGTGTGGAGCAGTTTAAGAACGGCTTTGTACCCCTGACAAAGTTTATTTTCTATTCAAAGGTTTAATCACATAAAAACATTACCTGTCACCAATTCCCCAAACCTTTCTCTACATTCCCAGATATGAGTCAAATGTTTCTCACTACCAACAAACACTTAAAGGGATAGTTTTCATTTTTTGAAGTGGGGTTGCATGAGGTACTCATCTATAATCAGTGTATCACATATAGTAGACGGCAGTTTGGAGAGGCAGTTAGTAGTACCACCACAGAACCTCAGCAACATACTGCTGTGGATGGGGATTAGCAGCAAAACATATTCTAGCCACTTTAAAAAACACCTGCTTAAAAAGATCAATATCAGTCTAAGTGGATGCTATATTTACAATATTTTGACCATTTTACCTTGCAATCAGGCAGCCCTTTCTTTTGGCGCAAAATTTTCCCATAGAACTTCTGTTTTACTACACAAAGGCAGGGCTGCACCATGCACTGTTACACTGTAGGACAAATGTTCAGGTCAGACTTTAGTGGTTCATGGAGGGGACAACAAATATAAGAAAATAAAACAAACTGAGTTTTTATGAAGTTTTGTGGAGGGAGACGGAACAGACTGAAAATGAGAGAAAAGGCTAAACTAGTGTGGAAACTGGAGACCAAGAAAGATCACAAGCTAACTGTGAACTGTAAATGCATACTCACGGACCCAGAGAGCTCCTGCTGCCATGAGTAGGACTTAGTTTCAACACAACCTCAAGATCTTTCTGAATCAGAAGATGCTAGCACTTCACACTTTACTGGTTGTTTGCGAAGTCGTTTCAGTTATGTGTAGGTATTTAGCATACTTGCACCTGATGGTTGGGTACAGCAGCACTCTTCAGTCTCTCGTATTTGGTGGTGGTTTCACAGAACCCTCGAAGAGAAATGACTTCTGCAATGGCCGAGTTGTTTCAGTCTTGCAGAGTTGATGTCTATATTCAGTGTAACTAGCAGCAGCCCAAAAGCCATAATATGCACCATTTTATAAATGGTCAGCACTTTCTGACCCGAACAGCTGATCTGCTGTGTTACAGTGCACAGTTTAGTTGGGCTTATGTGTAGGAATATGGATGTTACACAGTTGAAAAATGTAGTGCCAAAGCAAAGGGCTGTCTGACAGCAAGGTAAAGTGGTGAAAATATCTAGTGTCCACTTGGACGGATATTGATTTTATTAAAGTATGCCTTTTTTCTAGGTGGCTAAAATACTTTTCTGAGCTTCTGAGGAGCTAGCCCCTTTTGTTTCCCTAAACTGAGAGCGTGCCTACTGCCACCAACTGTATATAATACACTGACTACAGATTAGTACCTCATACAGCCCCACTTCAAAAACACAGTATCACTTTGAATAAGAAACTGGTGTTGAGCTGCATCATTCATTTACTTATAAACGACCATATACAACACAATCTCTCAAACAACGCTGGGTGCCTGGTCTGAGCATGTCTCTGTGAATCTCAGTTACACTGATTCTGAAGCTGGGCACAAACAGTGGCATGATAATAATAACAGCAACAGCAGCAGCAGCAGCAGCAGCAGGAAAATACCCATCAAATTAATATAGTAAAATGAATGCAAGTGATGAAGCTTAGCAAAATTTCCAGGGGATAGCCTAATTAGTTCTACACTTAATTACAGGCTCAAAAAAAAACACCATTCAATTTGTGTACTTATGATGCAGAAATACTAAGGCGAGGTAATTAAATAGACTTGATCAAGCTTGAGGTTATTAGCTGTTCTGACCTGGGAAAACAAATGTGCTCAACAGTGAGAGAGATGACAGAAAATCTTTATAGTAAAAACTGTCAGCTCTTTCCTGTCCTGGGTTTTGCACGTTTACCAAACAAACCCTTCATTCAGGGTGCTGCACAAATCTTCTTTTGGGCCAAGTCCAACTTTATTATTAAAACCTGCTGATAGCACATATGTACCGTTCGCTTATGCACTGCTTCACATTCTTCCTGCGCAGAGTACTCTGGGCACAGACGGAGCAGTGGTGAAGCACAGTGAACATGAACAATTTAACGGATCATTGTGTTGGGTCTTAAAGTTTGCTTTCACTCACAAACGGCTGCTCCTCTCATCCATCAATCTGATCTGATTAGATCAACTCTGACCGCATTGACTCATCAATTATCCACGCTGTGACTCAAAACTCCACAAACTGCAACTGTGGGTCCAAAAATCTCCGAATTTAGAGAGGAACACAGACTGATACACAGGACACACTGGCAGAAGAAAAAAAGAAAAGAATCATGGAGTCTTGGTTTATATTTAATCAGCACTGCCTAGTTTTACCTTTTGATCAAAGTTTGAGAAAAAGAAAGAGTTAAGGGCAGCTCTCCCTTTCAATCCACTTCTGTACTCTTTGTGTCTGTGGTGGCGGGCATACAAAAATGTGGAAGTACAATCTGTAGTTTGAGCAACAGCCCAAGAGCCAGCGAGCTGAGAGATGAGCAGGGAGATCTGGGTGCTGGTAAGATGGAGGGAAGTTTACCAGTTTACATGCAATGACAGCTACTCTGCGTGGTTCAGCTATAAATTTACGGCTTTAGCATTTTGCAAATGTAGAGCATTTGTTTTACCATATTTGAACAGGAAAGTTTGACTGCGCAAATATTCAGTAAAATACAGTTAGACCTTGATGACTTTCTGCCTGGAAACCAAACTAGCTTAGCGTGCAGCTTACCTTCTCTCCCAGGGCCCTGAGGCTGTCCAGGAAGCGGGGCCAGAAGTCCTTGAAAAGCGGTCGGTCGATCTTTTTCAGACTATCTTTGGTGCTGGCGTCCACACTAACATACAACTGGGTAACAGGTACAAGGCTCCTGGAAATGATAGAAAATATAGAGGATTAATGAGGATAAAAATGATCCAGTCTGAGAAAGAAAGACAGTCTGATAAGAGGTGAAGTACAAACCTTTGGAGCATTTGAAAAAAATAAAACAAAATATGAAGAACACATTTAAGTTAGTCACCCTCAATATCATGGAACTTTACACACTCCCACATCACAAGTGTATTTGTGTCAGCTCTCTGAAGGAAGGCAGTAGTTCTCCTTTAGTGTGAGACAAGGCAGAAAATATTTGGGCTGAATATAGAATATAATATATCTGTTGCTCAGCTCCACTCAGTACACATTTCTTCTTCCATTCAATATTACACATGCAACAACATAAAGTCTAGTTGTGCTCTAAGTAACAAATTCATCGCAGAGACGGATGATGGCAAAATGAGGGGGCAGCTGACGAGGAAGCTGTGAAAAAACACCTTATTTATATTACTTATTTATACTGCTTCTCATCAATTTTAAATAAGGAAAGACATTAACTTGTGGCACAATCCGTAAGAGCCGGAGGACGCACCAGAGAAGTAAACAGAACCAGAAAAGTGTAAAACATCTACATGACTGAAACAAGAGGAGCGCTCCCCTTTCATGTGTCTTTAGATGGGGGATAAAAATATTTGCTGTGCAAGAGAGGCAATTATGTAAAGACGCAAAAACAACCAATTAGCCAAATGAGAAATGAGACAGAAAGTTTGGAAATTCAGCTCTTTCTACAGTAAATAAACAGTTCCCTCTCACAAAAGCAGGACTGGAACAAAAAATCAATAAACTGCAACAGCTCATCTCCAACCAGGTGGCTCTGGCAGACAGAAAAAAAAGGTGATGGCTGTCCTTGCCATCCACCTGCTCCATGAGGATATGACAAGTCAGCCTGTGACAGGCAAGTTAGCTGACATATCGCCTGTGTCAGTGAATGTCTTGATGACAACTTGCAAGGCTTCTGGACAGAGCGGCATCTTGAGATGTAAGGTCGGAGGGCATGTAGAGTGACGGAAACCAAGGTAAACATCTGAACATGAAAACTATTTATTACAAACAGGTCAAGTGACAAACAGCTTTACATGTCATTCTATATCCTGTTACTGCTTGTGTGTGTGTGTGTGTGTGTGTGTGTGTGTGTGTAGCTCACTGACTGACTCACTGATGATAGATGACTGTTCGAGAGCACCTGTGTGAAGGTGTAAGCTGGGTCTATACAAGTGGCTCCTTACTCTACCTACCTTCTCTCTGACTCCCTGACACAAGACTCTTTTTGTTTGATAAATAAAAAAAAAAGTTAATCTTGTCATTTAACCCAGTGCTGCATCCTTCCTTATGTTGCAGTCTTCAAGCCAGTCTTAACATAATTGGGGCTCTGCATTTGTTAACCCAGACTATTCCTGCAGTACACAGTCATGGCGCGATGCCCCAGCCTCCTCTTAACGCCTAATGCGGATGGTGTTGTCTGGAGCAGCAAACTGTGAGACATATCTTAATGATGTGGAAGTCTACTCTGCTGATTCAGTGTTGGCAATAAGCTTCTCTCACCTTGAACTTTGCTAAATGTGAGTTCCCTAAGGCTACCATCACTTATCTTAACGAGCAGGTCTGTCAAGACCAAGTGTGGCCAGTAGATGCTGAGGTATCTGCTATCCGTTTTCTTGAGTTACAATCCAGAGTTTTACCTTAACTTCACTTCCAATGTCTCCCCTCTGACAGACCTCCTTATCCCCACTTTGTTTGATTTGGGAGGAAAAATACCAGCAGGCTTTTCACACTGTACAAAGTCTTATCTGTAGCTCTCCAGTGCTGTCGGCACCAGACTTTGCAGTGCCATTCAAGTTGGAGGTTGAAGCGAGTGGTAGTGAAGCTGGTGCTGTATTGCTAAAGGAGGTTCCTTTGGCATTGATCACCCAGTCTGTTCCCTGCAGCCCAGCCTAAGTACAGCACAATGGAAAATGAAGCCTTAGCAATGCTCTGGGTCCTCCAATATTTCGAGGCTTACGTTGGCTTGATTCCATTGTTAGTGGTAGTTTTTACAGATCACCTCTCCTGTGTTTCTAAATCGGATGTTTAACAGTAATCAACAGCTGATGCACTGGGCCCTTATGGTCCAAAACTTCACAAGAGAAATCTGACACAAAAAGTGGTATGGCAATGTTGTGGCTGATGCTCTCTCACATGTACCTTTGGATGACCCCAGTATGGCTGCAATTTTAAGGAAGGGAGTGTTACATGTTATGTGGCTGCTTTGCTTGTTTGTGTGTCTGCTCTATGTGTTCCACGTGCAGCTCACTGACTCACTCACTGATGACAGAGGACTGTTTTGGGGGCACCTGTGAAGGTGTAGGCTGGGTCTGTATTAGTGGCTTCTTACTCTGCCTACCTTCTCTCTGACTCCCTGAAGCAAGTCCCTGTTTCCTGTTTCCTTTAACCCGGTGTCACGTCCCTCCTTACCATGCACCTTTCGGGGCAGGCATAACACAGCCATTTTTCTTCAACTTTTCTCAAATCTTTTGACGTCATTACACTCCTTTACAATTTTTGCAATTTCATATGTATCATTTTTAGGAAATGGAGCAGTACCACCAGAGATCATGCAGCCAGCGTAGCGCAGTTCAAGACAGACATGACCGTAGGAAACGACGACAGTGGAACGGAACAACTTGATATTATAGTGAAAAGAATTCTCTGTCTACATGTGGTGATGTATTTATTGGCTTCACAGATCACTGCCGTCTACAACGCTGCCTCCGTTAAAAGGTCCATTATTACGACCTCCACCACCGTTGCCTCTGCTGTTGCTGTCTGAAACATCTGACTCTGCCCTCAAGTGTCATCTATTGGCTGTATTGATGCCAACATAAAGGACACATGGAAGTATGAGGGCAGTGATGCTTACAACGTTTCAATGGACGTATCTGTTATTGTACGTAAAGGGAGTATAAATGATCCATAATGCTGTTTTTAGCACATGGCAATGTTGCCCTAAAAACACATTCGGCAAGTTCTTCTTATACTTACTGTACATGTGATGGATGTACTTGGCTTTGTTTTATTTTTTAAACAAAGGGATGTCAGTGGGGCTTGCAGGCACATTCTTGTGTTGACAGAGTGCTGAGTAGAAGCTGTAGTGCAGGAAATAATGACACTCTGAGGTCATTCAGTACACAAAACTTTTCATGTTGATGCTCACAAACCCTCCTGAATGTGTGTATGTGTGTGTGTGTGTGTGTGTGTGTGTGTGTTGCTGCACATAAAGCCATCTGACGTGGCATTGCCTTTTATGAATTTTTCATAAAGTTAATGTAGATGCATAATGTACATGCCTCTAGGAACTGTTCCTGTGGTGAACTCCTGTCACAGACACATGGATGCAGAATGCGGAGACCTGAACTCTTGTGGCTGGGTTATGACTTAAAATGCAGCATTTTAGAGAAGCCATTGTCAAACTGACATGCAGCATCGCCTGCAGGTCAATCACTGAAAATAACTGGGTTTTATTTTTTGTAAGAAGTTGAGATATTTCTCCATTCCTTTTGTAAAAGCTTTGTAAAGTCATTAGAGCAAACATGTTTCAGCACTCAAGCACAGGCTTTAACATTCATTTGTGATGGTTTAAGAGGGCCAGTTCAAATACGTTTTCATTTTAAAACAGTGATTTAAAACAAAAATGATCTCCGTACACACGGGTGTTTTAGCATCATTTCCGAAAAAATGTAAACAGGAAGCAGATTGTCTACTGCTGAGCTGGCAAAAGGTAAGACAAAAGATGTCTTTGCCTAAACCAATAACAAAGAGAAACTGCTACTCAAAGTAACATGAGTATAAGGCGGTCAATGCAGCAGAAAGAAGATCAGGAGTCGCTGCAAAAAGCAAATCCTGAGAAATATTAAAGCCATAGACTGTTAAAAATGGTGGACATAGTTACCATGAAGTCACCAATTGGTTTGTGGACTCCTGTTCTGAATCCTTGTGTTTGGCATTTCAGCCGTCACCATCTTGGATTTTTGGAGCCAGAAACAACTGTAATTGGATGAGAGGGTGGACATGTGGAGAGGCAAGGGGTGGATCTGACACATGGACTGTGGCAACACCTTGCAGACGGCCTGTAACTCAAAGTGACCCCACCCCTAAATATCCCAAACTTTAAGCCTTAAGATTTAAACGTTTGAGTGATTTAAAAATTCACCCTCTGTACAGTTTTCATGAATGTTGAAATTAGCTATTGAGACCAAAATTGCTCTTTTTTCCAGGGTGTAAACATGTTTATTTCTGCTGTAAAGTTCGGTGTTTTAACATGGGAGTCTTTGGGATTGACTCTGTTTTAGAGCCAGCCTCAAGTGGCCATTGTATGAACTGCAGTTTTTCCATGCATCATTTTTCAGCTCCAGAGGTTGCCGCTTGATAAAAGTAGTAGTACTGGGAGCATTATCCATCACTGGAGGAAACCTTGGCAATAGAAAAGGAGTACCCATACAAGAAGAATTTTAGCTTTAATGTTTTGGCTTGACACGGAGTGACTGATGAGACACTTTCAGGAAGCGAGAGAAGGTTATTGTGTAATTGTTTTCATGTCTGCGTTTCTGCCTGCCCAGTCTAAAATGCAACCCTGGTCAGGAGCATTTTCAGAGGTCGCCGTGTTAGGGGTTCAAAAAGGCTGGGGCCGAATAGTGTGGACGCTCGGTGTAAACACAGCAAAAGATATGCAGAGTTTCAGTTTGATTTGCAAAGGTTTTGAAAAGTCTGCTTCTGAAACTTCTAATAAAGTTGGAGTTCTGTTTCAAAGCACTGAAAGTTTAATTTAACAATGTACTGCTGACTAACAAACTCTTCCATTGTGTTGTGCCCTCCTTGTTAAAGGACACACGGCACTTATAATTGTGGAAAGTAAACCTTTGATCCTTCCTGCGAGGAAGGAACCTAACTACTGCGACACACTCCTACTCCCTACTTTCCAATTCATCCCCCCGGACTTCAAAGAAAAGAGCTTGCGAAGGCAGGGAATAAAAATATACCACAGAACCATAATGAGCCAAAACAGAGAGGCTGGAATGTACAGTACAGGCCAAAAGTTTGGACACACCTTCTCATTCAATGCGTTTTCTTTATTTTCATGACTATTTACATTGTAGATTCTCACTGAAGGCATCAAAACTATGAATGAACACATGTGGAGTTATGTACTTAACAAAAAAAGGTGAAATAACTGAAAACATGTTTTATATTCTAGTTTCTTCAAAATAGCCACCCTTTGCTCTGATTACTGCTTTGCACACTCTTAGCATTCTCTCCATGAGCTTCAAGAGGTAGTCACCTGAAATGGTTTCCACTTCACAGGTGTGCCTTATCAGGGTTAATTAGTGGAATTTCTTGCTTTATCAATGGGGTTGGGACCATCAGTTGTGTTGTGCAGAAGTCAGGTTAATACACAGCCGACAGCCCTATTGGACAACTGTTAAAATTCATATTATGGCAAGAACCAATCAGCTAACTAAAGAAAAACAAGTGGCCATCATTACTTTACAACGAAACTGGCACACATGAGGACCGACCCAGGAAAGGAAGACCAAGAGTCACCTCTGCTTCTGAGGATAAGTTCATCCGAGTCACCAGCCTCAGAAATGGCAAGTTAACAGCAGCTCAGATCAGAGACCAGATGAATGCCACACAGAGTTCTAGCAGCAGACCCATCTCTAGAACAACTGTTAAGAGGAGACTGCGCCAATCAGGCCTTCATGGTCAAATAGCTGCTAGGAAACCACTGCTAAGGAGAGGCAACAAGCAGAAGAGATTTGTTTGGGCCAAGAAACACAAGGAATGGACATTAGACCAGTGGAAATCTGTGCTTTGGTCTGATGAGTCCAAATTTGAGATCTTTGGTTCCAACCGCCGTGTCTTTGTGAGACGCAGAAAAGGTGAACGGATGGATTCCACATGCCTGGTTCCCACTGTGAAGCATGGAGGAGGAGGTGTGATGGTGTGGGGGTGTTTTGCTGGTGACACTGTTGGGGATTTATTCAAAATTGAAGGCACACTGAACCAGCATGGCTACCACAGCATCCTGCAGCGACATGCCATCCCATCCGGTTTGCATTTAGTTGGACCATCATTTATTTTTCAACAGGACAATGACCCCAAACACACCTCCAGGCTGTGTAAGGGCTATTTGACCAAGAAGGAGAGTGATGGAGTGCTGCGGCAGATGACCTGGCCTCCACAGTCACCGGACCTGAACCCAATTCAGATGGTTTGGGGTGAGCTGGACCGCAGAGTGAAGGCAAAGGGGCCAACAAGTGCTAAACACCTCTGGGAACTCCTTCAAGACTGTTGGAAAACCATTTCAGGAGACTACCTCTTGAAGCTCATGGAGAGAATGCCAAGAGTGTGCAAAGCAGTAATCAGAGCAAAGGGTGGCTATTTTGAAGAAACTAGAATATAAAACATGTTTTCAGTTATTTCACCTTTTTTTGTTAAGTACATAACTCCACATGTGTTCATTCATAGTTTTGATGCCTTCAGTGAGAATCTACAATGTAAATAGTCATGAAAATAAAGAAAACGCATTGAATGAGAAGGTGTGTCCAAACTTTTGGCCTGTACTGTATATTTTGAGAGAAGAGAGAAACAAGAACAACCACACAAACAATTGTGTGATTCCTTTTGCCCCTACCTGATTTCCTGTGGGAACTGTGCATTGGTGACCACGAAGCTGGAGATGTGGTGGGAGTGGAGAAGGCGGACGAAGGTGTTGATTTCAGGGTACATGATTGGCTCACCCACCAGGGAGAGAGCACAGTGCTTGACTGCCAAGCCCTCCTCGTACCGCTCGGGCTTCACTCCAGGGACACCTGGAGGGAGAGAGGTCAGTGGATGAATAAATGATAGTTTTGTTGTCGATTCCACCTTTGACTTGATGAATGCCTCCCAACGATAAAATGAGTGGGCTGACATGTGGAAGCACAAATCAAGACAGCTCCAAGTTAAAAAACTGTGGGAAGTAACAGCATGAGGTCAGGCTTTGAAGTGAGGTCAAACTGAGTAATTACATAAAGCAAAAAAAAGGCACAAGAGAGACGTGTGGTGTTCATGAAAAATGAGCAGAAGAGAGATGCTGAAAGTTTGAGCTTTGGGAGCCGGGCCTGAAGCCCAGTCTTTCTCTTCTACTCCCTCTCTCCTCTTTTTCCACTGGGTGGTCTTGGACTCTTCCGATGTTCAGTGGATTCATCAGCACAAACTACAGGGGGCTGTAATAATAGACTCAGCATAAGTTCCTGACTATTTTCAAGAAATGTTATAAAGTTTAAAAGGCTATTGCTGTTAAACTTTGAGATTTATAAATCAAAAGTAATAAAAAAAAAAAAGAAAAAAGGAAACGACTTATTAATGGGAACAAGCATTTAACAGTACAAACCTAACCTATAGGCATCAGACCCAAAAATATTACTTTAAGAGTAAGGAATCTTGAAAGTCTCAAGCCTCTTTTACACTGCCTGTTAAAGGCAGGACTGTCTCACTGTTTTTCTGCCTTGCTGTTCTGTATAAAAGGTACAATCGTGGAACGACGTGACAGAGTTGTCTCACCTTAAAGCCGGCAGCAGAGGCAGTAACAGCACCAAATTGACTTTTCCTGGAAAACACCTGATAGGATTGAACTGGAAGTGACATTTTGACGTGGTGTTATGTGTGTAACCCACCACGGGGAGATTTAAAAAGCAGCTAGAAGCAGTTAGCAGCTAACTCAAAGAAAAAGAACAGCAACAGAAATGTGCGCAAATCGGGAAACCAATGAGGTCTGGGAGCTCCTTACCCTCCACACTAAAGACGAAATCAGCCACTACATAACAGAGAAGGTAAATGATTATTTTTGCCATGTTATGTCATTGCCATTGTTTGTAAAGTGCTGCTGACATGTACGTTATATGTCACACTAGAGTCTGACACTGTTGTGTTATATGTCATGCCATCAAAATCACACACTGGGGTGGTATTATGCTGCCATCGTTTGGTTCTGTACAAAAAAAGCAAACCCAGCATGATGAAGGGACTTCGTAACGGTCCTATCACGAGTCTCTGTGTAAGGGCTTTAGTCATATGTAGTTATGCCAAAGGAAATTCTTATTATCCAATGGAGGAAATTCCACATTTGGATCATGCCTACAGATAACTGAATTTAGAATTACATACATAAATTAGATACATGGAACAAGCAAAATTGGATTAATGAACAACTACCTAGGACGTGAAACAGCCGAAGAAACGACATGAGTCTGTATAAGAATATGTAGACATACAGAACCTGTGATCAAGGCCACATACTTTCTTTCATTTTAGAAATAATCTCCTTCCATACTAAGATGCCTGAAACAACATATCACATGACCATTCAAGTGCATTGGGGATTCACATCCTGGTGTAAACAGGAAGTGGATTGTCTTCTCTGTGAGCGCGGAGCAGTCAGAGCTACAGGCTACAATGAGGCTAAAAACAGAGTTCATAAGATGTTTTTCGAAACAACTTTTTATGTCGGGGCTGCAGCACACTTGGATCACTAAGGATGAGCAGTATGGAGATACTTTATGGATTCAATTTTGTGTTCTTGGACGTTAGTCTGGGGCGCCGTCAGCCATTAGGTGTGCTAGCCGCTTCGCCCACCGATCTCACCGATTTTGGGTGCACTATCCCTTTAATGTTTTGCTTGACATGTGACTTACAAGACCAAAATGCGAAGCAAAGGTGTGTGTCTATGTCATTGTTTTTAAAACTAAAACGGGATCAGCAGCGTTTTCAAAGGTCTCTGTTTTAGGGGTTACAGAAAACACTGCAGTAGTGTTGATGCTGGACGTAAACAGCAAAAAATGACGAACCCTTTCTGCTAAAGAAATGTTAGTGTGGATGAAGCCTTCTGATTTTTGGGGTTTGGAGGACAGGGTGGGAGGCAGACAGCGTCTAGTGAAGTAACAGCCAAACAGATAAAGCAGTAAATGCTGTATGACATGGCAAGAATTTGATGGAGACAGGGAATAAACAAATAGTAAAGCTTTGGGGGAGAAAGTTTCATACCCTGTCATGGGGATTTAATGTGATACTGCTGAAGCGACAGCAGATGCCATTTGATTTGAGAGTACTTGCACTGAATCCTAATTAAATAAAACTTTGGAATGTCGCCTTCATATGCTTTATAACACAGTCTATGAATTATTGATAAGTTTGCAGCATTTTGTATGGTTGAACCATTGAAAGCAAGTGTTTCAGTGCCACCTTTCAAGGACAAATCACATCTCGAAACAGCTGCAAAGTTAACAAACAACAAACTGTCCCCCCGAGAGAAATCCCACTTAACTCTGTTCACATCAAGCAGCTGGGAGGATGCAGCAAGTGTGTTAAGAGTCTAACATCTCATTAAATGGATCTTATGCTATTAGTGATGTGAAACTCTGTTACATTCTCACATTTTATCATTTGGGGGAGGCGGCTCTCTGTTTCTGAAGTGAATATCTCAGATAAAAATGAAGTCTATCAGCAAGGACATTAGCCTTTATCATGAAGATTGTTACTGTATAAGAAGCTGCAGAATTGATTCAAGGGAAGACAACTATAAGTAAAGACCTGACAGTGAAATGTCCTCTGGACTTGACCTGCATTATCTTTGGTTAGACATCAAGATTTATAGGAGATGGTTAATAAGGTTTTATCCTCTGCGTTGCACACTTCTCTCCATTTAATTTGGTCATGGTGAGTTAGGGCCCTGACACACCAAGCGGTCAGCCACTGGTCAATGTCTGGCAGTCAGTGAGCATCTGTCGCCCTAGTTTGTGCGGTGTGCCCAGCACTGTTGGCACTAGTCTGCCTTCGTCTTTTTCCGGCCGATTCAGCATATTGAAATGACATCGGAGACAGCAGAACCTGTCGGTGAATGAAATCACTATGACTGGAAGTTCAGTTAAGTAAAACTAAAGAGAAACTGAAGTGAGGAAAACAAACAAACTGCTAAAGTCAAGAGGGCCTGAGATCAAAACTAACTTGTTATATTAGGAAATATTACTTGTTAGCCATTCAGTTCTTTGGCAGAAATGGTTTATAACTGTTTGTGTTACTGTAAATATTATTTGTTTGTTCAACATCGGGTTGTGTTAACGTGCAAACTGGTTAACTAGCGTCTTGAATCCATCCTGCAGATCTTCCAGTTTCCCTTTTTAATGACAAATACACATTAAAATTACTTCCTTTCACACTGGCGCAGAACATGCAGTCTAGTTGGCAGTTGGTTGTAGTCTTTGCGGTGTGTTTAGGTGCAACTTTTTGGTGTCATGAGGCAACACAACAGTCAGCCTTTACTGATACTACTTCCTTGATGTCCGTTAGGTGTGTCTGGGCCTTTAGACAGCCCTGTCTTCTGGAAATTGTTTATATACAACTAATTTAAAGCAGCAAGCACATTTTGGAAAAATAAAACCAGCCAATTATGTTTTCTTTTAACATAATTAGGAAATGTTGCCAACTAGCTTATGTGGCAAGTCACAAAAGTTCACTGAAAACAGATTTCAGCTGTTTGTGGCCAGTAAAAGCAACCTTGCAATACAGTATCCATTCATAGTGATTACAGCAGTATTTTTCTTTATTAGCCTTTTTATTACCATCTAACTGAAATCACAATCTTTCCCTTAACATAACCAAAGTGCTTTTGTTGCCTAGACCTAAAACAGGGGTCTGGGTGCAAACCCAAAGTTCTGGTGTCAAAGTCCTGCACTTTGTTCACCCAGCATCCTCTCCAATTACCTCCATCTAGTGTTTTGTTAAGTGAGAGAAATGTTGTCTGGAAAAATAGGCGGGCAGCGATTGCCATAACAACATATTTCAGAAAGGTTAGGAACTTACAAACGTAATTTCTACGAGACAGTGAACACTTCCCAGTGGTACTGATTGGTGCCTCCTCAATGCATTCACTTGGTAAAATCAAACAAGGACATGGGGGCTTGGATGGAAGGATGTAGTGTTTTTAGCACAGTATGCATGACTGGAGTGAGACATTTTAAAAATTAAAAGTCCTTTGTTGTTGTAACTAAGAGAATCACAAGACAAAATATTTAATTCATAAGTTGACATAGCTGCGAAAGTTAGAACATCACCAAAGCTTCTTCCTGTACATATGCAAATGCACTACGTAATGTAGGCTCATTTGAATTTTATCATATTGCCTGGAGCGCAAATGCATGCAGGACAGTTAGAATTAACTGCCAACCAAACAGCATATACTGTATTACATCCTAAGAAAAGATGAATGTAAAAATTAACAAATCAAACAAACAAACAACTGCTAAAAAATGTAATAGTTTAAAAAGATCTCTAACAGTGTAATATCCCAGCACATCATCTTGTGTCAAGAGGACTTCAACACAGGGTCTTTAAGGGTCAACATAGACAAGCAGTGTCGTGCTCACACATTTTGTGGAACAAGTGCTCAAGTGATGTGCACACAGGTGGCAAAAAAAGTTTATGCACTTGCAAAGTATGCCCTGCCGAAAGGTTTCCATATGTCTGACAGCACCAGAAGGGCTCTTGAGGTCTTAATATGTACAATACATTTGTGCACAGTAATGTGTAGAGGAAATATGTGTGTAGCTTAGAGTTGTCTCAAGATCAATACCATATGTACCTCGCAGCTGCTACACATTCACTTTCTACATTTATTGGTTATGTTTAACAGGCAACAAGAAAAAAAACAATGCCACATTGTGCATGCTTTAATGGTCTAAACAATATATGGCCATTTACAAACAACAAATCTTTACACTGCTCTCTGAATAAATAAAACAATAAACCAACCAATCTACCCTCCAAACGACAGAAGGCCTATGTTCATTCTGCTTTCCTCTCGTCTATTTGCTCTCCTCCTCCCCTTATTTTCTTCTCCTCTTCTTTCTTTTTTTAAATAATAACATACTAATTCTTATAACTATCTTCTAATTAAGCTTTAAATATTATTAAAGAATCCCAGAGAACAGACACATTCAGCGGCTGCAGCTTCGCACTCCTCCTCCTGCACTCTTTGTACATGGCTTGTTCATGCAGAACCAAACCGCATGTCAAATTTGTTTGAATGAATTATCAGATCCATGGCAGGGAGACATAAATATTATTTTAATTTAAGTTGTATGCAGCCCTCAGGCATACAACAGGCTTTCAATTGACAACTAATTACGTGGGCCAAATTTAAAACCTAAAATAAGAAATTATTAAAAGAAAATGGAAAAAAATGTCTTGCAGAAAGGGCACTTTTCATGTCAGAGGTTAAAAGGGCACCAACTGGGGTCCATCTGTGCACATGCCTGCAGACAAGAATGTCATTTAACACAACACTCTATTGAATTTTCTATGCATTTTCTTACTACGGGCCTCTTGGCTAGATTGCTACACTCAGATAGCGGGATTCAAATGTAGATCACTCTGAAGTCTTTACAGAGAGAAGGGCATGACAAACTTAAGTGACAGCTGTCAGGGCAAAAAACTGCTTTTTAATGTATTTAAAAGGCGACAATAACATCTCATTATAAACTGTTGCATGATGCAGAAAACAGCCATGCGATGAGACCTTTTAGGCGGTACATCATCACTTTATCACAGCAGAAACCAACCTGTTTCATCACACTGTGGGTTTTCAGAGGCATTGTCTGGATTGTTCATTGAGCCAGACATTACAAAACGTATCGCTGTCAATGGTAAATGGAGTTGAAGGCTGCCTAATGTGATTCTGTAGTGCAACTGGAAAGAAAATTATAGATGATAATGACACTATAGGCTTGTGCTTTGCTCTGGTATGTTTCTAATTATAAATGCAAAGCTTTGCCTTATAAAAGCATCTGAAAATGGGCTTTTCATTATTTCCAGACAAAGCGCCATAACTGTAATCCCTTTTGTAACAAATGCATTATTTTCACTTTAAGTGAACGAAGAACCAGCCTATTGTCAATATAAGCTTATGTGCACTATTGTTCCATTATAATAACATCAGGAAATTACATTTTCTGTGATGACACGCATTACACTACATCATGAATAACTGCTCTGAGAATGATATTAGCTATAAAGAAGCCCTTTGAAGAAGATATGTCTCAAAAGCTTTCAGCATTTGGCATTTATATCATTTCCTGAGTACAATTGCTTCTCTGTTTTATAATGGGATCAGCAGTGGCTTCTGAGGTTAGAGCCTTCTCATTGTGAGGTCGCAGGCCCTCAGAATACTTTGGCTGCAAGTACACTCATACACGACGGCTAGGCAATCTTTGATGTCAACCCTCTGTAGATTTTGTCAAATTTAAAGAAGTTCACTACTGAAAAAATGGTCTTTTCATAAAACTGGGCTGTCTATAAAGCAGAGAGACACATATACTTTTGAAATTGGTGCTGCATGACCAGAGAAAATAGAGAAAATCAGTGTGGCATTCCCTTTGGCTCAAGAGTAGGTAGAAAACCTATAACTACCAGAATGCAATGTGCTACACCTTATCAATAAACACTCTCACTGGTGGACACCATTATGTGAGCTCTTCTGTTTGGAAACAGAAAACAATACGGTGGCCAGCTGGTAAGAAACATTTTCCTATTACAGTTACACAGAAAGCTGAATATGTTTCTGAAAACATTTGAGGAGAGAATCAGAAAATGCAGTCGGGTTGGGCGATATTAAAATTACCCTGTTGACAATATTGCTTTAAGGAAAACAAAAATGTACAAAATTATTGTCCAAATATATCTGAAGAGAGAGACACACATAGGCACAAATATTTTATGGACTGGAGATGCATAAGGTGCAATAACGGTAAGTGGCCACAATGTACAGGCAGTAAGTGCTATTTTACAGAGATATCAGATGAATCAACTGGTAAGGTCATTTTTATTTAATAACACCATTATCAACATAACGATAATAATTTTGCTTTCAGCTACATAGTAACAACAAGTCAAATTTCCCGAGTATCACAATATGAATTTTTCATATCATATTAAAATGATGCCGGTATTATTATGAACGAGATGATACTGTATAGCACACCACTATTGCTCATCATACAGTAGTAGGAGTTTCTCTCTGGCTGCTCCTTGTGGATGCCATCAGGGGCAGATCTGTGTATTCTGCTGGATGGTGAGCTCTAAGATGGGAGTTGAAATCTGTGGTGTTTTAAATCTTTAGTCCCTATTTGTTTACCACAGAGCTTACAAATCACTTTGTTCACATTCTCTGGCTCTCATTTTTCTTTTGCTTTAATCAAGAATCGCCAAACAGGCACATTTGTAGTCTTTTTTTCTGCTGCATTTCAAAGGAGATTCAACTATAACGTAGGTGCCACGCTGTTGCTTTGTCACTCGTAGTGTGAACACAGTCTGGGCTAACATTACATGGGTCATTATGTACAGTGTTAGACATATGTTAGCCTGCTGTTACCTGTTTTTGATACGCTACAGAATTCATAACACGGTTGCATTATAGGTGAACTCTTCAAAGTAGGCCACAATGGCGGTCAGTGTAGACTATGGATTCCAAAGAAAAGTGTTGGTACTGGGTCCTTTACTAGTTACAACAAAAAAAGCAGCAACAAAAGAAAGCATCAACTGAACTGAAAAGAAGACAGTTTGGCAAATTGAGTTTGGGCTTAACAGAAGAGGTGTGTGTATTTGTGTGAGAGTGTGCATCTGTGGCTCTGGCTGTGCGGACAGGGGTCTGCAGAATAAATTAGTTCTGAATCTCAACAGGCTGCACAGCCACAGCCATGTCACAAAAAGTAAGTGTTAAAACTTTGCAGCATACCTGTAACAAAAAACTGGATGTAATTTGGACTGGGGCAGTGCAGTGCTTACCGCTGTACTGCTGTACTGCAGCTTTCACGTGAAAGAGGCTCAAAATACAACACTGCTGAGATGGTGACAACTGTTCATGCTGCTTATGTGTGTGGTTTATAATTCTGTCTTTTAAAATATCAGTAAGTAAGTAATCACCTCAGGTCGGTCAGGACATTTCAAAGATTAAATCATTCATTGTTAAACCGAAAAATGTATAGAACTAGATTAATCTTTCAGAACAATAAACATAAGCTGCAGTGAAGATCTTGTTTACAACCCTTAAATCCATCTGGAATACAAACATTTTTCCAATCAGTGCTTGTTTGCTTTAATAAATGTCTGATAAAAGTGTCACCACCATGTTTTGACAACATTCCTCAAAACCTCTCAGAGAGAATCTGCTGAGGGAATATTTACACTATGATCACTAAATTCGGTTTTCACTGAGCTCTGGGAGTCCAACTAGTTATCCTCAGCCAATGCTGGTAGCAGCCAGATAAAATACATCCCAAAAGCCAACAGTATTACTGCAAATAGTAATACTGGAGCCCCAAAAGTGTGGCTACAGCGCTAATTCTTTTATTATAAACCATTATAAACTGTAATTCCAATATAGCTGGTATCCTGTAGAACCCTCAGTGACGTTACAGCTCAAATGTTGATAGGTTTTAAGAAAATATAGAGTGTAGTTGTGACACTGACACAATGGAGGTGCCAGATGGGGAAATTAAATTGTGTGTGTGTGTGTGTGTGTGTGTGTGTGTGTGTGTTGGGAAGTGATTGATGAGGTAGTAGAGCAAAAAATGTGATAAAACAGCAGACGAAGCATCAGATCTTCACTCTGCTTCATTACACGCAGCATTACAAGAGGTCATGAGCAGTAAAATGAAGATGCAAAGTGTGTGCTATTATGTCCGTGTTTATTCCTACAAGAGGGATTAAAGTTTATGATGTGAACTCAACAGCGTGACTGATGGATGGATGGATGGATAATCAAATAGCCAGACAGACTGCTAGAGTTATACTGAGAGGTTGAACGGGACAGAATACTCATGTTTGACCTGCTTAAAGGACAAACCTCTGAACTGTCGAATCATGCTCTGGTGCTTCTCAAAGGCATCCTGCAGGATTTTCTCAGCAGGGTCCATCTTCCAGCGCCACTCTGTGCCCACAGGGTTGGTGTGGTGTCTGTTAGTGGGGCACACAGATAAACAGATAAGGAATAAAAGCACACATACAGCAACCACTAAGAAATGCTACTATACATCTTGATCATTTATGCCTGCTTTAAACTTATGCGGAAAAGCTTGCGCAGAGCTTCAACAGAGCCCCGCAGAGGTGGTTTGCAGGGCTCGCAGAGAGCTGTAGATATGCGCCTCCTGAAAGATGTGACTACACACAAGGCACTGCAAACACCACAGAAGTCTGAATGGACATCAGAGACCAGAGGTGGGATGCAAGAGATGCGCGCACCAGCCCACACAGAATGCATGGATGCACAGGCGCAGAAGTAAGCATAGGTATAAACTCAAAGCCAGTATCGCTCCAAGGCACTACTCTAATTTAGACAGATTTAGGCTATTAGCTGGGGTCATTTGACTAAAAGTTAAAAACACACTTCACTAGATTCAGATGAGCATTCCTCTAACAAGGTGCAAATATCAAGACTGAAGAAATCTATTCATAAATTAGAGCTGTTTATTTATCCTGATTTTGGCGCTTTAAGCATTACTGTTATCATCAGGTATATTGCAAAGATGACAGTTATTAAACAAATTAATTGTTAAATGCAGAACACAGGGGGGCAATAAGGTGCAATAAGGGGTGCAGCATTTTTTTCAGCTGAGATGTTCTGGTTGCATCGAGTTGCTATGACAGAATATCTGCGCAGGTAAAAATGTCAGCTCAAGGTAGGTACTGCTCTGGAATGAGGGAAGGATGAAGCATGACGGGAGAGAGGACAGACCCACCAGTCTGTGTTGGTTCAGTATTAATTTCTCCTCCAATGTCGTTGTTGTTTATCAATGTGACGATGGTCTTTGTGGTATTTGTCCCACCCCTCCTCCACTGTGATTGGACGGCTGGGTAAAAAAGTGACAGTGATGCACTGCTGCAATGTTTTACCCAAACTTGTATGTTTTCTACCCTAGACGACCAGAAATGACAGCAAACATGCAGCGCTGAGCACAGAAGGGACGCTCAGGACCTTGAATCGCTACTGGAATTGTCGCATACTGTAAATATGCAGCGCTCCAATGAAAAATAAAGACAAAACATAAACAGTTGTGGCAGTTGCTTGCCATCCCCTGTGGTTGTCTTGTGATACAGCAGTTATTGTGATAGCCCTATCAGACTAAAAGTGAATTACATGGGCTGCGCTAATTCTCACACTATAAAAACATATAAAGTGAAAGAGTGCATTATACTGTAAAAAATACACCTCCTTTGGGTGTTGATAACACCTTATGACAGTCTAAGTGTGATGTCTAGGTGCAACAGCAAATTCTCAGGCATTACAAATGTCAGACAGTCTGTTGCATGCATATGCACACGCTCACACCACACATTCTTGCCTTGCACAACAAATTTCATTCCACCTGTTGTTACAAAGAGGTGGATGGCGATGGCAGCTGCAACAATACATCTGTGCCCTAAATTGCTTACTTCCTGTCATCCCACATAGCTACCTGAGGGGAAACTGGCATATCTGTGGTGACAGGGAGGCAGTTCACCACAGCACATTCTAACAGTGACCTTTCAGTGCGTAACACAGTCCCCTTTTCAAATGGAACTTGAGGGCAGTAAAAGGCCCAGTCTCTCGCCAATGTCGTGATGAATCAGTGTCCACCTTTAGGCCTCGCAGTTATGCTGGCCATTAGTTTTCTGCACCTAAATCATTAACCTGTTTGCCACAGAAAGATCATCACTCCATGTGAGAGTGATCCTGACTAACAAGGTAAACATGTTAGGTTTAACAAGAAAAGGAAAAACTAAGCATGCAATAACCCTCAAAAGCTATTAAAACTCTGAGAACCCTGCTCCCCTGTGATAGATTCCACTATGGTTCAAGTAGCAACATGCTGCACTTTTAAAAAACATAATCTTTAACAACATGTTAAAGTTTTAACGTGATTTAAAGTATTTATAAAATCAGTAAAGGAGTATAGCAAAATGGATACCAATAAATACCATAATGTTAGAGGTGCTACCCGGACTTGAGACACAGTGATCATGCACAGCAATGGAATATTTAATACAGTGGTGGAAAAAAGTTTTCGGACACCCCATGCATTTGTGAAATATTGCATTAAGAATCACTCTTAGGTCTTCAAGTGCAATTTCTTTTAGTACAGTCACAGCCAAAATACTAAATAAATCCTAAAAAAGCCATTAAAAACTTAAAATTGATTGGTTCCATAAAAATACATAAGAAATTTTGAGTATTGGGTCATTTTGGTACCAGTGATGAAGGTCGTTCTTTTTATTAAAAGACACAATTTTTGTTGCCAAGCTTCGTGTCTACATAAAGCCAGCACATTTGAAAGTTCTTCAGACACAAAAATGGCTAAAACAAGGAACCTAACGCAGGAAACACGCCTGAAGATAAAGATTCTCAGCCAGGAAGGGTACAGCTGCCGCCAGATAGCCAGGAAGCGCAGATGCAGTCCTTCAGCAGTTGGATACACTCTGCAGAAATACAGACGAACCAACAGCTTGGAAGACAAACCAAGATCTGGGCGTCCAAGGGTTTCTTCAGCAAGAAATGACAGCATCCTGATCCGCATGTGCAGGCAAAACCGCCGAATGACATCACAGGAGCTTCAGCAGCAGTGGTCAAACCAAACTGGTGTCCAGTGTTCCACCCGCACTGTACGTGGCCGACTTTTAGATCATGGCTTAAGGTCCTACAAGGCTATCAAGAAGCCCCTGATCAATGAGAGACAGAGGTTAGCCCGGCGTCGTTGGGCCCAGGCACACAAGAACTGGACAGCCAGGAATTGGAAGAAGATTTTGTGGTCAGATGAGTCCAGTTTCCAGCTTTATCTTCCTCCTACTAATGTGAGGGTACGCAGAAGGCCAGGCGAAGCATTATCTCCAGCATGTACAGTACCTACTGTCAAGCATGGTGGAGGCAGTATCATGGTTTGGGGATGCATGAGTGCTGCTGGTGTTGGTCATCTCACTGTCTGTGATGGCACATTGAACTCTACCAAGTATTGTACCATTCTCGAAACCCACACGCTCCCTTCTGCGCGTGCACTGTTCCGTCGAGGTAAAAACTGGATGTTTCAACAAGATAATGGCCCTTGCCACACATCCAAGGCCAGTAGAACTTGGCTGCAGGAGCACAGTATCCAGGTCTTAGAGTGGCCAGCTCAATCCCCGGACATGAGCCCCATTGAAAATCTGTGGTGGATTATCAAAAGGTCTGTTTCAAAGCATAAACCAAAGAATTTAGAAGAATTAAAAGCAGTAATTCAAGAAGAATGGGACAAGATTACCACTCAACAGTGTGAAAGGCTCGTGGGGAACATGCCAGCCAGATTAGAGCTCTACGACGTGCCAATGGCAGGACTACTAAATATTAATTTGATGATGTGATGGTTTATTTATTTTTTGTTCAGTTTTGAACACATTCTCTGTTATTTGTTGACTTTGATACCGACAATGTTGAGAACTGACATACTGAAACTGTCAAGAATTTAGTTTTGTTAGTTTTTCTTGTAAACAATAAACAAAAAAATATAATTTGTATTTGTTTGTATCTGTCTAATGCAGCCACACCTTTTGAAACACAAAAAAGATTTTTCCACAAATATTTCATGATAATATTTGAGATTGTGTAAAATTTTAAGGGTGTCCGAAAACTTTTTTCCACCACTGTATAGAGATGCTGCACACTTAAACTTGTTTTTGAAATGCACACTAAAAAATATAAATGAAAAAACATTAATGCTGGTGACACCTCGTACCAAATTTGATTAAATACATATTTCTTCTTGGGTTGAAAACAGCTCAACACGCCATCTACTGTTTTAAATCCATGAACCTTGCAAGGCCAATGCTGCCATAGAGATAACCAGTTGGGGCTTACAGGGAAGGCTAGCCTCTGGTCAGTGTGCAGAGGCACTAGTAACTTTGATAAACTACCATTTAAGCAACCCTGTTAACTTTCATTGAACAGCAGCCACTTTGGAGCAAGTGGCATTGATGGGAGTTAGACCAAAAAACAGTTGAGAACAAACATGTTTTCAGCGAGGTACTCAGTATCTGTGGTCAATTCGGGTAAATTTCGGGTAAACGACCATTGCTAATAACAACCTAATTGCTGTTGGTTATACTATATGTCTTTTCCAGAAAATATCACAATATAAAATCTGTGTTCTCTGTTTAAAAAGTACAAAGATAGTGCATATATTGGACGCTTGTTTGTGGTTAGGATACAGTCTAATTACATCCCACTCAGGGAGGGCTGCTGGGTCAAGTGCGACACCTGGTGGTAAAAAGTAGTATACCTGTCCAGGTTTGGCGCAACATCAAACCAGTTTACAAACTTTTACAGTGGCCCGACCCTAAACTGCACCTTTAAGATAGTCAAGAACTAGACTATCAATCTGATCAGAGCCATAATCAAAGTCTGTCTCTTTGAAACCATGCAGTCATGTTATTCTTCAGGTACATACCTCCAGCAGAAGACACACTTGTTAGCACAGGCCAGGCTGGGAGTAGTCTCCATGCACCGGTGGGACTCAATACCATAGAAAGTGTGCTTGTAACAGCCTCCTCTCCCTCGCAACATAGACTAACCAACAGAGAAAACACCTTTAATGTGATTCATGCTTTCAGCTGCAAAAAAAGTTTATTGAGAAAAGTGAATTCCATTACCTTGGTCCATCGACAAAGCTTTACTCCTGAGTGACTTCCAATCAGTTTGTACCCTGCACACAAAGAGAAAGGACAACAAGAGAGAAGAATGAGAACACCTCTTTGACCCAGAACCACATAGGTCAAATGCAGCACACAATTGATACTTAGAAACATGGAGATCACACTTTCATTGAGTGGTACATAAACAAAGCCCCGCTCAACATTCACAAAGTCATATCCATTTTAAGGATAGACCGATACATCGGCCGGCCGATATATTGGGCCGATATTTGAGTTTTTTTACTTGTATCAGCATCGGCCGATACGCGATACGCAGGTTCACGGATTTATTTTTTCCTGGCATGATTTACAGACAGGCATCCACAGGCAGCTCTGTGTTGCCGGAAGACCCTGCAGCACACATGCAGCGAATCCTACTGTGTACAGTAGTTGTTGTTTTATTTATGCTTCAGCTTAAATATTTGTTTATTTTATAAAGACATTACTGGAAGATTTAAGAGCACTGAACTCTTTTTTTTATTTGAATGTATAATAATAATAATAATAATATTCTACCTGTTTTACCTCAACTTTCCATCTTGTTTTAGTATTTTTTACTGTTCAATAAATGTTTCTTATTTTAAACTTGAGACCTGTAATATTTGTTATCATTGTGTCAATTTTTTGATGTAAATTGAGGGAGCAAAAGCAGTATCGGTCCCAAATATCGGCTCAAGAAAATCGGCAGTCCATAATAGGTCATCAGCTAAGGGTGATGGAAAAAAATCGGTATCGGCATAGGCCCTAAAAAATCCATATCGGTCTATCCCTAATCCATTTATAGTCCTCAGCTGCCACTGTACACCACCAATAAAGCGACTAGCAGCAACTCAAGGGCACGTCAGCAGGAGGAAGGAGGGGATGTAGTTTCAAATTCTCTTTGAGCATAAAAGGAGGATAAAATGCTTCAAGTTCACTTTCTCCACAAGTCAGCCTCTCTATCCTCTCATATTACCACGGCCTAATACCACTGGCTATGAATGGCCATGCTTGGGTGAGTCCTGGCAGGCTGCTCTGTTTTTTTATTTTTACATATCCTCCTCTGTGATGTCTGTCAAAGAGAACACCTTCATCTGTATCAATTATTCTGCTCAGAAATACCAGAACATGTTACTGGGATTGCTTCTATGGGGAATCAGGATCGGCTCACTTTTAAAGTCCCAACATTTAAAGAGACTTTCTGCCATGCAGCGGAGAAACAGCCTGACGTGGAATTCAGGTAGGAACTCTTTATTTTGAAACCTTATGTGTTTTGCTGTTAAACCTTTGTAGTTGGAATATCTAATTGAAACACAGCAGGGGATTTGTGTCAGGGTGTGTGTGAGCTCTCACAGCTTTCACAGATCTCAGGTTTGATGCTAGATGACTCGAATACAAATTGTATTCATCAAGGCTGTTTAGAGTATATTAGGAGAAAAGGCTAAATGGTGAAAGGACTCATTTTTGATTTAACACCTGAATGAAACAGCTTGCCATTTATCAAGGGTGTTCTTTTGTTAAGCAGAAAAATCACTGTAACTACAAATGCACCAACACAGAATCCAATTTCTGTTTTGCCCAAACACCTAATGTTTGTTGTGCCTTTTCCTCTTTGGGGCAAAAACATGCTGACCAGCTTCAAATTGTTTTCCAACCTGAAAATAACTTAGCATATGTCCTCCTCTAACCTCGCTCTTAGCAAATGCAAGACACATAACAATATACAATCCCAGGCCAAGACGGCTGTGGAAACCACAGTAAAGAACTGGACCCACTGGCAGTTTATTTAACCATTAATGACCTTAATGTAAGCAATGTTCCCCCTCTTGTGTTTGTTAGGGAAATTGATTTCCAATGCCTCCATGTCCTTCAATGTGTCAGGGGAGAGGATTGAGCCAAAGTGAGGGGGAGGTGGATGGTGAGAAGAAAAGAAATGTCTTTGTATTTCTCCTTTCTCTGGTATTCCTGAAAAATGGCATCTGCTGAAAAAGTACAAGATGTGCTATGAATACTTGTACTTCAATGTGCGAGGCATCAATACTTGAGACAAGGGGAAAATAACAAACACTTTGCCAGGAGGAATCATAACAAAAACAATAAAGCATGATGACAAAACAGTTAATCAAATGCATATATGTGTGTGTATGCTCCTGTGTGATGCCTGTTAGGCAAAAAGAAGAAAAACTAATTAAAAGGTATACTATCCAGGATAGTCTGTTACAGTTTGTAAACATGCTCGCCAGCCAAAGTGAAAGTAAAAGCCAATCCCAGACTAGGTCTCATTTGGCGTTTCGTCGGTGCTGTGTCTCTTGATGCCTGCTGGTTATTGGCACCCGGTCACTACTAGGGCTGAGTATCGTTTTAAGAAAAGATGATACCAGTACTAATACCAGTACCTTTAAAGTGATACAGATACCAATAGAGAATCCAATTCAAGTAATAGAGCATTCAATACCAATAATGTGAATGGAGTGGTGTGTAGTATCGCCATACTTTCGAATGTTCTGGTGGCATCTTGGAACGCTGAACCACCAACTCTGTCAAATACACCGCTCCAGCTTCACTACAACACAGACTGTATGGATTGCAGCTGCTGCTGTAGGAGTGTGAGCTCTATGCCAGGGGACAGGTGGGAGTGTCCACCAGCCATACATACACAGTGACATGGCTAAGTGTTAGCATCACATAGCTAACATCACCCAACTGTTATTAATGGGTTTAAGGATAGAGTTTGTTTGGTTTAACGGCTGGGTGTTGGATGTTAGCTGCTAGTGCTGACGCTGAACTGACTGTCCACCGGAAGAAGAGCAGCTCCTCGTCTGGAGAAGTGAGAAACATACATTTTTTAAAATTCCCTCAGTGTTCACTGCTCTAGGGATATTAACCGGGAGCTGAATTACCCGCAGACGCGTCTTCCTCCCCAAAACAGGCAAATCAGGTGATTAAAATCAGCAAAAAACACTGGATAAAGTAGTTTCGCATTATAAATTAGTGTTTTTCAGATGCCGCTTGGCTCATCATCAAAGGGCTGCGAATTACAGTAGCCAGTGCAAAAATGCAATACACAAAACGCAAATGGGCCTAGCTAGAGCAAGTGTTTGGTTTGTCCGTTCTGGGCTACGGTAGAAACATGGTGGTGCAACATGGCAAACTCCATGGACAAGGACCCGCTCCCTGTGTGGATACAAACGGCTCATTCTAAGGTAATAAGACATTGATTCTTATTTTCAGGGGATTATACACTAAAAAGATATTATTATATTACATTTAATTTCTTCCAATATATATATCCCCTAAATCCTACACACTGGAGCTTTAAACGTGGAGTACTATGTTAAAACTTTCTTGGACTTTTCACAGGAGTTTCAATAGATGTGTGACTTGTGTATCCATGTTATGCCAGAAAAAGGCCATTCAGGAAATACAGCCTTTCAAGACCCAATATCATTAAAACAATGCCAAAACTTTCATCCTTTATTCTTTTATTGCAAATAAAACAAACCGTCTGCCGGGACCGAGTGTTGCCAACATAAACACCATGAAGAAGGTCAACATTTGGTCAAATGAAGTGAAGTCCTGCTCACAGAGTCCTATTTATAGAGTGTTGTGTAAGCTAACAGTGGGGGGTTACTGGCATGTGTTATACTAGTAAATGGACTAAATAGAAAGAAATAGTAAAATGTTTTAGACAGAGCTAATGAGTCAGTAGCTGACGCTCTGAGGCTTTGTGAGAGGCAACACCTACACAGAGAACATATGCATACACAACACGTAGCTTCATTTACCACAACACCATGTGCAGTATCATAAATATTGAGCCATACTCCATGTCAAGCATTCAAACAGAGCCCCACTTCAGTAAATCCACTTTCACAAAGGCAGGACTAGATAATTTCACATATTCTTAATGCAAATTTAAATCTCACATCATTTTTTATCATTGTCTGTGCATGTGTAATCAGAGATATTTCGGTGAGTTAATGTTTGGTCCTCAAATGGAGACAACAGGCAAAAACTATAGTATTTTAAGGTGATAACAGCGCGTAAGTCTGTACGTTGAATTAGGAAATTTGTAAACACTACCATGTTGACACCAGCTCAGAGTACTGTAGCTTTGTTGAGATTTTGGCGTGGGAGGAGAGAGCAGTGAGACTCTTGGGAATGCACCCTGAGGACAGGAGGAGGCAGAGACGCTAATTGGACTGCAATGCATCATTAGGTGCCATTAGACAACACACATTCCCCGGCACCACACCTCTCCTCATGTAGCACCTCTGACCAGCTTTAATTTCTCTGTCAGAATGTTGAAGAAAAAGGCTGGAACACAGGATGCAATCCCAGCAGCTGACTGACTCTAACATGATCCAAGAAGAGGTTCCAGTGTGTTTCTTCTTTCTGCATGTACGCCAAAATAATCAGCATTTGAGGCCAACAAACAGCAGAGATGAACTGATTGCAATTTTCTTAACCAATTTTTAAAGTTTTTAAAGCCAGTGCAGGTTTGGCTGATTCAAATTGGCTGTCTTTCTAAGATCTATAATTTTCAGCGTATTTGGAACTATTCTTTAAAGCTGCTGGAAACTTGGTATGGAATAGTAAAATTGCATATATGATATCAAAGATTAGTTGTCTGCTAGTTACTGTGACTAATCAGCTAACTAGTAGACTGGGGCAGACCATCCATATTTGTGTTTTTATTCAGCTTTACCTCCTGGACTGAGAAGCTAAGTGTTTTAGCTTCTTACATGAAACAGTGAGCATTAGCTTTGCTATGACACACTTCTGAGCTACTTTTATTTACTGTCTTTAACACAGATTTGGGTGGTGTACCTAGTCTCCTAATTAGCTTAACACAGTAGCTTTCAAACCACCTGCAGCATGCATGGGAATGAATTATATCTTTGGAGACAGAATTACAACTTTGAGAAGAGACAACTTCTGTCAGTGACTTTGGTAACAGATGAATACTTCATAGAAATAAAATCTAAATTGACTCCCCCCATTAACTTGTGCATGTTTGTAAGATTTACTGCCCAAATTTAAAACATGGCATAGATCGTAAGTCATGTTTTAAAGTCAATTACAACTTTGCTGCCCTTGTGGAAGGAGAAAGGTTGAGGATATGCTGACAAGCAGCTGGTCTGTAATGTGATTTTTTTTAATGCAAAGCAGTACAGCTAGATAATATGAATATATTATCCACAGTCCCCAGTGTCACCAGCAGATGTTCTCTTGGAAATGGCTACACAGTTCTACACAAGTCAACAACTCATAAAATTTCACAGCCAACTGAAGCGGTGTCAGTCATCTTCATCTTTGTGTCTAATTTGTTGTATTTTGTGTTAGAGCGATAACTTGTGACTGAATCCAGATCGCCTTTTTCCTCACCTTGCTTTGTCAGCGCTGCTCTGAGGGCAGGGGTGATCATCTCTCTGCTTTCCCCTTCATCTTCAATCTTCTTCACTCCGTTCAACTTGGACAGCTTCACCGTCTGGCCGTCTCCTCCACTCTCCTCTTTGCTCTGTGGCAGACACAAAACTCAGAGTCACTCATTGTTTATAACCATAATGGCATCTCTGAAATAGCAGGCTCTGTTGCTGTGTTGCGTCTGGCGTCTGTCACGACTATAAAATCATGAACTGTAAATTTTATGTTGGGGAGGAAAACCGCTCATGTAGAAAAAATGTAATGTACTAAGTGTTTCAGCCAACAATAAAATCTATTTATTCAATAACTCGCAGACCAACCACATGCCAATGACTTACTTTACGAGGACACGACCCTCCTAAAGACATAATTCTTTATATGCATCAGACAAGGGCAGAACATGTCGACACAATATGGCTTCCAGGCTTCAAACAGTGATATTAAAAACCATCTTTGAATGTGGGAGAATTTAATTACTTAACTGACATTCACTGACAGTTACTATCTTTTCCAGTTGTCTCAAGCATTGGGTTGTCTCATCACTTTCTGGACAACCTAAAAAGTTTTTTGCAAACCTAATATTTGCCTAGACACCAAGATTAAACCTACAACAGAGAGGATTATATTTTTTTGCGACCATCAATTCACAAACATTCTACACTGTCATCACCACGTATTAATGGATACTATCTAAACAACCCAAGCTATGCAACCTGCCCATTAATCACACCTGTCACTGTCACCTGACACTTAAAGTGTATTTATTGTATGTATTTCTTTACTCTAACAGTAGGACACAGCATCCAGAAAAGCTTGATCAGCCAGTTTGAAAGCCACATGATTTGATGCTTACAACTTAAAGGCACCAAGTTAAAAGCAAGAAATTTTAAACATCTCCTCCAAAGTGTTTGATGTTGGACATGACTGAAGATCACGGGTTGTGATTCTGCAGTCCTTGTATGACTTTGTGTGCGATGTAACTATTAACCACTGCATGACATGATCACTTTTGAATAAAGGACATCATCCTGTCCGGACAGTACAGAATAATCTTGGTCTAAGGCCCTTCAGGGGCTCAGTGAAATGCAACACAAGCTCTACAGCATAACAATTGTTGGACTTCATACCACAACGGCTGTTTTGATGCTAAAGCTGCTGCAGCCTATTCCTTTGAAAGATTAACTACTTCCTTCAGGCCCAGATTACATTACTGCAGAGTATAGCATTTGTATGCAAATCAAAATATCTTTGAGAAATGCTGTTTACAGATACAACACAAGATTGATTAACTCCTGCTAGAAAACCTGCCAAGTGTATGGGAACAGGTATTACTTTCAGAAAGGCATGATGGGCGAAGTGCCTTTGAGATTAACAATGATAAGTGGCAGCTTCGCCTCCACCCAATTACTGTGTAGCTGCCACGGTTCAGCTCGTATAGGGATCTATATGTCACCTCCTCAGCACAGCAGCACTCACAGGGGCCTGATACTCTGTCAGCAAACGTTGACGAATGTTTGGATGTGTGCATTCCTGAAGAAATGAGACTTCAGTTCACTGGTTCCTGTGCAGCTCGATTTGGGGTGCTACCCCTAGACCTCTGACAGCATGGTTTTAAATGCTACCACTGAGTGCTCCTGAGTCTTCAGGCTGGTTAAGACCAATGATTGGCAACGAGAAGAGTTAAAACTTGCAACTACATGCAAAGCACCAGTTTGCCACATTATGAGACCAATCTGTCAGTTTACACCAATGACAGTTTCTTAAGATGGACAACGCCACTGTTGCCAACTTGGCAACTTTCTCACTAGATTTAGACTTTTCAGACTCTTTAGGCGATGTTATTTCTAAAAAGCAACTAGCAACAAATTTATCAGCTTATTCAAACCATCAGGGAAAAAGTGAGAAATATATTATATTGTAGCATTCATGCTGCTTGCAGTGATCAGAGTCTCAACCTTTCTCTTCCCTTTCTTCCTCTTGTACTGTGCAGTAGATATGAGACAGGCAGGAGAAGAAGAGATGCTGCTGGCCATGGGAGTTCAGTTGTAGTGAGTTTCTATGGTTACACTGATGCTCTCACTCTCTGGATTGGAAGTGCGGGAAAGTGCAGTAACATAGTTTAAGTGCCATAGCTCTCATACCATTCAAATTTTCTGTTGAGGATTTTTCTACTGAATCTAATTCAGCAAAGTTTTAATGCTTCCATTAATGCATGATGATGTCTCCAATACATAAATGAGTGTGTGACATCATCTGGTGACTTTTGGAGCTAGAGATAGCTACTTTTATTAGACAAGAGTCTGCAACACTGGACACTTCCTTCCACTATCCAAAATGAAGCCAAAATATCACCGATACTGCTGCTGCCACATTGCATTATTAACAACATATGGTGCCAGAGTCTGCGCAGAAGCGCTATCTGGTAAGGAGCTACCACCATCCGACCATTTGCACCTAGTGCCACTGATAGCAAGTACCAACTGGCACACACAGCTGTCAATCATGATGTCAAATCCCCTTTTTATAGCATCTAATAACAAATTAAAACCAAAATTAAAACTAACACTTGAACATAAAGCAATGTGATAAGAGCTACCTGACAGACACTGGCTTTGAGAAAAATGAATTTGATGTGAACTTTGAGTTTTTAGTTTGGCTCATGTCCAATCAGATAACATAACGGGGACAGGCTTTATAGCCTATACTGCAGCCAGCCACCAGGGGGCATTCATGATATTGTGGCTTGACTTTTAAGGAGCCGTCATGTCATCCATCTTTATACATAGTCTATGGCGGTGATTGTCAACTGAAATATTCCCGTCTTTTATAAATGCGATGCTGCTTGGGTCCCTCATGCAAGAATGGGGAAAAACTTATAGCTCAGTGCCCGCAATCAGTGACACTGAAGCAGCCTATATCAACCATAATTATACTATTTTGGATAACTGACAAAAACAAGTACACCTTATGAAAATAACATTTTTGGCCTACCCTGATAGCCAATCACACAGCTGATCAATCGATCGGAGCACACTGTTGGCGCAATGAGAGAAACAGTGGAGTTTTCCCCACAGCACCAAAGTGTCTGAATTAACACTAACAGTCAAATGTTCAGCAGTAGGAAGTGACTTATTAAAACTTCTACAGACTTCTTTGTTTAAAGTTCAGTTTTAGCCAGACTTTGGATGACAAAGCATCACTCAGTGTCTCTTCTCTCTTTCCAGCTGCTTGTGATTTCATTGTTATTAACTGGGGCGTATTGAGTGATCTGGGGGCCGGGGGCCGGGGCCCCTGGCAAATTGCATTTATTTCTCACATAATGCTAGGCAGTTTAATAATTTGTAATGCACAATATTTTGTTATATTTTGTGAATAAAAATCTGAATCTGCAACATAACATAACATTTATCCATCAGGTAAATGTAATGGTACCATGTTTTCCTCTGAAGTAGAGGCGTCCAGTTGGCCTTTTGTAAATTATTTTGGGGTATAATGAGTTAGAACAGTAATATATTTAAGAATTTGTCATATCTGAACATCATAATAGATCTATAACTGTTGGGCCCTTTTAGTTGGAGGCCTAATGGTAAAGTCCACCCCTGATTATTATGATTATTCTCTCATTTTATCATGAAGAGTCCATCCAATGATATTGTTCTTCATGCATTCTTGGTTTTCATAACACCTTCAATCTAACTAATCTAGACTACTGCAAGTGGTGTAGAACTGCAGGGAATTTGTTTAAATTACAGAAGAAAATTAGGGAGTGCTGCACTGGGTTAAGACACTGTGTACGAATTGTAAAAAAAAAAAAAAACAAAAAAAAAACAGTTAAAAAATGCATCTGAGGCACTCTGATTGTAGTTAAAAATCCTTTATTGATTCATGGATAAACCAAAGCATTTTGACCAGAGTCTTCATCAATGCTGATGAAGACTCTCAGGTTGAAACACGTTTCCACTAGAGACCAATGCCTTTCGATGAGAGAGTATTCATCAGGGATGCTGAAGACTCTCTAGTCAAAATGCTTTGGTTTATCCATTAATCAATAAAGGATTTTTAACTACAATCAGAGTGCCTCAGATGCATTTTTGGACTGCCTGCCTATAATATGGGCTTTTAAACTGAGTAAGTTGGCCAGTCTTTGTGTTTTATCAACCAATTATGTAGGTGGGGCACATTCAGTCTGAAAACACCATGCACCAAAATGATGCTGTTTAATCAGCATCTTGATATGCCACACCTGTCAGGTGGGTGATTGCTCTTGGAAAAGGAGAAGTGCTCGCTGACACAGATTTTTACAGCAAAAACTTCAGAGAAATAAATCTTTTGTGTGCATAAAAAGTAGACTGCCCATCGCCTAGAGGAGTAAATGCAGAGCCTATATATTAAGCATTTGAGCATGACCTCAGGTGCTCAGAACCCATCTGTTTTTGCTGACAAACCTAACAATGGTGTACTTTCACCTTCCACCTGGAAGAATCTGAGCCCATGTAGCCATCTAGCAGCTCTATCTGCTCTGTGCAGCTGACGCCATGTGTGCATAGATATGATAAATTTTCCCTGGGATGCTCCTTTGTTGACAGGGTATGCTGTGAATGAGTAAGCCATTGTGCCGTGTCAGAATCCTCCCATATCTCATACTCAAGTGGAAAAGGATTTGGCATTATGCTGAATGGCATTTGGAAACTTTATTCATCTTTCTGTAAATTATCTGGGGTGCTGCTTTGGTTTGGGTGGTTTAAAGGATGCTATAATGCATGCTCTATTCCCGTTATCAGTGCAGGCGTACAGTAACTCTCACAAGCAGACAATCTGGGAAAGCATCAGCCACTTAGATGTACAATCATCAGGAGGATGTGGCTCACATCGCTGTTTAAGTTTGCCAGATATGTAAATCGGGGGTGAAAATTCTGTAGCCTGCAATTTAAACCTCAAAAAGGGAATTTATCACTCTCAGCCAGCACAAATGTCCACCATCACTTACTGCATCCGTGACATGCAAGGTTCTGACAGCATACGCAACATGTAGCCAACAGTGCAACAATCTGTCCCTGTGGTGTTTGCGTGCAGCCCTGGCGTTCCTCTGGCCCC